TATGAAACAAAACGTACACAGATTGTTTAATGAAGAACTAATTTGCTCTGTAAAGTTTCACCCAAACCACAATTAAAATTAATTAATGAGAGTTTTAGCCTCCTAGGTGTATTGATACATGGAAGCTGAGCTTACGAAAAATGTGTTTGCTGTTACAACTAACTACAGGGATCTTTTTATAAAAAATAATAAATTTGTGATGAAACACTGCACAACAATTTTATAGACAGTCATTTTGGTGCCACTCTCTCTGACAGTGACACCCAGCACGATCCGCACCCCGCCGATGACGCTACTGGGTCTATATTGCAGAAAGGCTGCTGTGTCGGCAAAAACAACACAAAAGGGGCCCGTAGAGGTGAGTTCGGGGATTTTAATGTCCTCTCTTTTCTCTTTGCTGTCAGAGTCCACAGGGTTCACTGTGGGTTTTGGTCCCATTCTTTCTGGAGTATTCGGGTTGCTATCATTAGCTAATGCTATTGAGACCGTTTGGGACATTGTCTATTTAACAATAGAAGTAGAGCTTCAGCCATTTTATATATAGTCTGTGCTTTGATTTGTATAGATTGGGAAAAGTGTAAGGGGAGAAGAAAACAAGGAAAGAGTTTTAATATGGTAAAAAAATAAATAAATATGTAAAAATACCTAATTACTTATTTGTCACAACATTGAATATGGATTTCCCACAGGAAGAAAATGGGCTTAACTAAACTTTGAAAATTAGTCCTTTAAGGGAACTTCTTCATTAAGGCATTGTAAGGAATGGAAATGTTTTTCCAAGGGAGTTCATAGAATTTTTTTTCAGGACAGAGCAGGCACATTCTTAGGTATTTGGTCTGATTATTTTGCAGTCATGCCTGGAAGTAGACTGAGGATTGGACAGTTTCTTTGGGCTAATTGTGGTTCTCTTTTTCAAAGAAAGAATCTTTTTAACATGTTTAATCTCAAAGAAAAGAACTGAAAGGTAAGTGTCTACGTTTGCAGAAATAAGAACATGTAATACATTTATAACACAGAAACAGATGATCTCTTAGCTTACTAGAAAATAAAACCAGGTTCCTAAGAAACTCATTTCTGGTAGGATTTAGAACACACTTTTGTTCTCTGGGAAACCAAAGTACACAAACCTTTGACTTGGAAGAAATTAATTGCATGAACACAAAGGGGAGTTGTGACTAGAGTGGTGTAGTGAGAGGAAAGAATAAACATCTGGAAGCTGGGAATCTAGGGAGACTTTAGAATGTATTTATTGGCCCGGAAGAGAATAGTTTGATGGACCGGAAAGAGTAGTGGAGCGGAAGATGACTTTCCTGTCCAGCCTCTTTCACATTCAAAGAATTATTCACAGTCCTATGTTGGCTCATGGAAGTACTCTGTCTTGTCTTTGGTTCATAAGTCTTTGTAGGTCATTATTTACTCATTAAATGCCACCATGTGCAATTTGATCATTCCAATCCTTTAGTTCCTGACTTCTTGTTATCTACTATGTAAAGGTATGTGTTTGCAAAGTTCAATACCATTACACAGTAGAAAATGAGCAGCCAGAAACTACAGAAAAACCATTTTGCTCAGAGTTGTTTCTGAATGGAAGATTCTGTGGGCAGAATGTTGATGGATGAAAACAATAAAGTATGAGCAAGAGCAGGAATGCGAGAGTCCCAGAGAGCATGGTGGATGGAATGCTTGCGGGAACATAGAACTAGAGGAACCTTGAAGATCACCGAGAGGGCAGCTAGGAGAGGACCCACCTCAGCTGACATGCCGTTAACAACTGGAACTTACTATACTTCTGGAAGGTTAAATCAAGGGGACTTTGGGCTTGGGTTTTGTTATTATTATTACTATTGACAATGAAGAGAAAAGGTTGTGTTCCTGCTTGGTGGAAAAAACCAGAGCAAAAACCAGACATCCCAGAGAACTGAAAAATGATGGTCCTGGGTCAAAATGGGGTTTGATTTCAATGCTGTACAGAAAGTTCCAGAAGTGAAAAATGGGTGTAAGACCTAAGTCCTCAGTTCTCCTTAGTGTTTGTGATGGGCACAGCTGAACTTAAGTCATGACCTGAGAGTCCTTATACAGAAGGATTCTGTAGCACAGAAACAGAAATAAGTTACCTGGAGTGAGTGATGGTGTTTAGTTTTTTTTTTTTTTTTTAATTTTGCTTTTAATTTTAAATGTCCTTGCTTGGCAAAATAAAAATTGCCAACCCTATGTTAGTCCCCCTTTAAAGAAAATTATGCTGGGAAATCTGAAATATTGGGAACTACTTGATTTTAAAATGTGAAAAATATAGTATTTTGGGGGGAAAGAATGTTTGTTATGATGTTTCAAAATTCTTTCCTAGAATTATTTCAGAAATTATTCCTCCATAGAAGGCCCCATGTTAGGATCAGCATAACAGTTAGAGACATTAAACAAACCTAAGCTAGAGTCTCAGCCTTGCCTTTTACTAGCTACCTGGGGAGGTGAACAATAGGCTTCACCTGCCCAATGTGGAAGCTGCTTCTCTGATTCACACTAATTTTTTTTTCACCTTCAAGCTAATGTTCTTCATTAAATACAACTTTTACTATAAAACTGCCCTACTCTTGTTCTGTCACAGTACTTTCATTTTCTCTAATGTGGTATTATTCAAGCTCCCTTATCCTTGTCTTGTCACTACTGTCATTATCATTAAACTTTTTGTTCTCAGCTTTTTCCTAAAGACATATGATCCACCAGTAAACATACAAAAGTGACTGTTAAAGTGATTGGAATCTGGTCCCCAATATTTTTCTTCTAAATAATTCTAAGGAAGAAAAAGTCCATTTTGTATGGCACTGCAAGCTCACTGAAAGAAAGAAAAAGAAAAGTCATCTACAAAATGTTTTGAGTGTTATTGGAATATCCATTCTTTAGGAGATCTATGGAGGAGTCTTGGAAGCACAATGGGTAAGCACTCATCTGCTAACAAAGGTCAGTGGTTCAAACCCACCAGCTGATCTGTGGGAGAAAGATGTGTCAGTCTGCTTCTGTAAAGATTATAGCCTTGGAAACCCTATGTTGTTGTTGTTATGTGCTGTCGAGTTGGACCCCATTCATAGCGACCCCTCCTTGGGTTTCTGAGGCAGTATCACTACGGAAGTAGGATTGCCTAACTTTCCTTCCAAAGAGTGACTGGTGGGTTTGAACCACCGACCTTCTGGTTAGCGGTCAAGTTCCTTAGGCATTACACTACCAGAGCTCCTATAGGGCAGTTCAACTCTGTCCTACAGCTTAGCTATGAGTTGTAATTGACTTGAGAGCAATGGGTAGATTTATTTATGAGTCTCAAGTACTTTTGGCACAAGAAAGTGCCAAAGAATGAGAGGAACATTGGAGGATTCAGTTGGCCCATACCCCAACACCAGTGGATTGGAGAAATTACAACCTTTTTCAATATACCCTTAAATTTAACCCTACTTTTTTGCAGTTAAAGCAGTGGTATCACTAGGGTTACTGTCACCAGTATGAGAATTCATGGTGTCACCCCTTCCATGAAGCTATCCTTAGTAATATTTATTATCAATTTTATTCACAGAATCATATGTGATATAGTTGTAAATTGCTTAATTGTAGTATTTCTTAGACTACATGAATACTATTAAAGCATTACAACATTATTAGTAACTGAGCGGAAGCCTTTTTTAATTTTTCTCCTTTTTCCTTTAATTACTACTTCACTCTCAAAAAAAGTTACTGATATAAGTTCAAAAATACTAATTACCACAATATTACAGTTAAATCACCAGAAAACTTGACAAAGTCACCTAACAGAACCTTGCCCCCAGCAATGACAACAGTAGCATGTGCTTATAGCATGTGGAGGTGAAAACACGTGATTGGAAGGAAGCATCATTGTAATTGGGTGATAATGACAACTCTGACCAGAGTGCCTTAAAAGGTTGAAAAAGTAAATTAGCATAGAGTTTTAGCCTTGTAGGTATATTGATACATGTAAGTTGGGCTTACGAGAAATGTCTTTGTTGTTAAAATGAATTACAGGAATATTTTTATAAAACATGATAATTTCTGCTGAAACAGTGCACAAACATTTTATTGACAGTCATCTTGGTTCACCTTCTCTAACAATGTCACATGGGGTGGTCCACACACCCTACACTCCTTAGTGATAACACTGAGTTAAAGGACTTTATGTTTATGAAACATTATATCATACAAGTCTACATAAAATGTTAATGTGCAGCTCTTATTAATGTATTTAAGTTATCTGGGCACCAATGTAGCTGTATAGCTTATACACTTGACACAGCCTTCAGTCCAAGCAGTGGTCAGGAATGAGAGGAAAGAGAGTCTTTAACTTCATACAAAGGTATAGCAATGACCTATGGTAGCCCTAGCATTGAGTTATATAATATTGTGCTTGAAAAATAAATACAACTACAACTCCTTGAATGTGGTCTAATCAGGCTATTTGCCAAGTCAGGCTTTCCCTCAACTACTCGTCAGTCTGTGACTCTGCCTTTTGTGGCTTCCAGCATCTTCTTGGGTCAAAAGAAAACTCTAGAATGTTGTTCAAGGTGCCAAGTTAAATGCCTCTGCTCCCAAGTCACCCACTCCCATTTCTCTTGCTTGGCCTGCTTTTTCATTCTCAAAACCTATGCCATCAAGTTGAGACTCATAGCAACCCTATAGGCCAGAGTAGAACTGCATCATAGGGTTTCCAAGGTTGTAATCTTTAAGGAAGCAGACTGCCACATCTTTCTCCCACTGAGCAGCTGGTGGGTTGCAACCGCAGACCTTTGGGTTAGCAGAGGAGTGCTTCATCACTATGCTACCAGCGCTTACTTTTTCCTTTCTCAGATAGGCTGTAATGATCCTCCACCTCCACTTCTGAACCTTATCAAGACTCACTCTGATTCTTGAAGAGCCTCCATCCCCATTAACACTTCAATGTTTAATGTGGAGGAGTTACAGGTGAATGAATTTGCACACAATGGAAGAAAGACAGAAGTCAAGAATTGCCAACAATACAGACTATATACTTTATTAGATTCCAAAATGAGAAAATGGTAGTGTTAACTCATTTTAGTATAAATCTACCACCCTTCGGAAAGAGCCTGTCTTAGCATTCACAGCCCCCCAGTCCTGATACCGCCTGTACTCTCGTGGCCTCAGCAGGTACTGTCGGCCCCGGTAGTTGGGCAGCTCATAGAGGATCCAGCAGCCCTCCAGCACGTGGAGGGAGCGGACCTCATCGGAGTGGAAGCGGTCCTGGAGGCAAGAGCAGTCCTCACTCATCTCCATGGTGAGACCTTTGTGGTCTTCTCTCTCGTACAGTCGAATCCTGTGGGAGGCTGTCTGCTGGGCCCACAAAGAGAAAGAGGAGAAGGAAATGAGCCTCTTCCAGAATTGGTCCAACCAAACCACATATGAACTTGGTAGCTTGGGGCGTGGCATTGTCAGTGAACATGAGATTCTGAGATTCCTGTGAATGTAGTGTACGGATCTGTTTCTTTCTCTCTAATAATTTATTTTACTATTTGTTGTTGAGAATATTCACAGTAAAACATACACCAATTCAATAATTTCTGCATGTACAATTCCGTGATGGATTTGTTGTTTTTACTAGCAGTTAACAAATAATTGCTTGGCAAAATATTCTATTTCTTATCAAGAGAATGGAGTTTTTAAGAGATTCGAACTCTGAGTTAAAATCCATCTTGATTCCTGATCCCGTTATTAATTCAAACCTCTATTTTTGGGGAAATGTGATTACTATTTTTGATGACTATTTTTTGGTAAGAGTGTTATCTACATAAAAATAAACATATCACATTTATATCTATCTATAAATTTGCTACTAAAATAGGATTTTTAAAAAATCACAGAGTATGGATTGTTAAAAGGAAAGCCAATTTGCTCTGTTAACTTTCACTCACATCACAATTAAAAAAAGAATCATATATAGCAATAGAAAATTGGTTTCAGTAGTCATTTGGAGTCAGAATCGAAGTGAACACTACCTCTGAGTAGCCTATATTTACAACAGAGCTCAATCTTACAGTCTCTGATGGATGCAATCTGACTCATCCATTATAGATTTCCTTACTACAGAAAAAATTAGTTTGTTAGATATGTTGTTGCTATTGTTGTTATGTGTCATTGAGTCGGACCTGACTCATAGTGACCCCTCCTTGGGTTCCCGAGGCAGTATGACTATGGAAGTAGATTGCCCCATCTTCCTTCTGAGGAGTGGCTGATGGGTTTGAACTGTTAGCCTTCTGATTAGCAGTCAAGTGCCTTAGGCACAACACTATCAGAGCTCCCTTGTTAGAAATATTCCCTTTTTTTTTTTTTGCCTAACCAACTTCCCATTTACAAGTTTTGTTTTATATACCATTATGATATTATATTTGTTGTGGATAATTTTCAATTGACCTAATGGTAGCAAAAACTTTTTTAAAAAACTGACTCTTTCTCTAAGTGAATTCTTCCTTAGATTCTCTCCTGTTTTTGTGCAGGTACCTATCTATGCTTCAACAGGTATCTAAAGCCCTCTCTACCCTCCGCTGTTTTTAAAGGACAATCTGCTCCACTATAATTCCCATCATTAATACAGGCATACCTTGGAGATAGGGCAGGTTCGGTGCCAGACCACCACAATAAAGCAAATATTGCAATAAAGCAAGTCACACGAATTTTTCTGGTTTCCCAATACATATGAAAGTAATGTTTACACTATACTATATAGTCTAGGAGCTCTGGTAGTGTAGTGCCTAAGGGACTTGACTGCTAACCAGAAGTCTAGCGGTTCAAACCCACCAGCCACTCCTCGGAAGGAAGATGGGGCAATCTACTTCCCTAGTGATATTGCCTCGGAAACCCAAGAAGGGGTCGCTATAGTCAGGGCTGACTCGACGGCACATAACAATGACAACAACATATAGTCTATTAAGTATGGAGCAGCATTATGGAAACGTTTGAAATATTGTAAGAATTATCAGTATGTGACACAGAGGCAGGAAGTGAGCACATTAGCTGTTGGAAAAAATGATGCCGCTAGACTTGCTTGATGCAGGGTTGCCACAAACCTTCAATTTGTAAAAACTACAATTATCTGAAAAGTGCAATAAAGTGAAGTGCAATAAAATGAGGTTACTCAAGTCATATGAATGAAATCAAGTAGAATTCACCTGGGGGATCAAGCAACAGGAACGAATTGAGTCGTTGAAGCCCATCCACTGCTGGTAGTCGGGGTACTCTCCACGGCGCAGGAAGTACTGGTACCCCTGGTAGTTGGGGCGCTCGTAGAGCATCCAGCAACCGCTGTCCACCCGGATGGAGTTACAGCGGCTGAAGTAGGTCTGCAGGTTGGGGCAGTCAGTGCTGCACTCATAGCAGCGACCCTGGAAGCCCCGGTCCTCATAGAAGGTGATCTGCAAAGGAAAAATAATTCTTAATTATCACTTGCTTTCAATAGACCTGCTTGTACACAATGAAAGAAAAACAGCTGTCAGCAGTTGAGAACAATTTTGTTGTGTGCCATTGAGTTGATCGTGACTACAGTGACCCAATAGGACAAAGCAGAACTGCCCCTTGGGTGGTAATCTTAATGGAGCAGACTGCAGGTCTTTCTCCCAAGGAGCTAATGGGTGGGCTCAAACTGCCCACCTTTTGGTTATCAGTCAAGCTCTTCACCATTGTGCCTCCAGGGCTCCTTAGACCTTATATTAAAAACAAACAAACAAAAAACCATTGTTATCCAATCTATTACTACTCATAGCCACCCTGGTGGACAGAGTAGAACTGCCCCATAGGCTTTCCAAGGCTGTTAATCTCTACAGAAGCAGTCCACCCCATCTTTCTCCCCTGGAGTAGCTGGTGGGTTCCAACAGTTGACCTCTTCAGTTAGCAACTGAGCACTTAACCACTGTGCCACCAGGGCTCCTTAGACCTTGTATTGAGGCTCGGTTTCTTTTTTCCCTCTCTGTTTCACTTGTGTTCTGCTCACCTTTCCCATGGCTGGTTGACAGGGACGATGCGAATTCAGTGTGAGTGGCCGCAGCAGTGGGTCTATATAGCAGCGTGGCTGCTGCGTTGGCAAGAGCAACACAAAAGGGGCCTCCTGGTGAGTAAGGGGTTTTGGATCCCTTTTACATGCTGCATTCAGTGGAGACAGCTGTCCATTTTCCCCTCATTCTCTAGTACTTTCGAATGCTGTCCTGTATGTGCTGTTCTGATGAGTCCTTAGAGTTCCTTTTATTTGGATTCTTAGTATTCTCTAAATCTATCACGACATCAGGCTGAACTTTTGATCTGAAGTTCATGTCTCTACAGGTATGAGTCAATTATGCTGTGTATTTTCTGGGGAAAATCTGTCTTTAAGGAAGTACTCCAGAATTCCAGAGTTGTTGTTGTTATGTGCCGTCGAGTCGGACCTGACTCATAGTGACCCCTCCTCAGGCTTCCAAGGCAGTATCTCTACGGAAGTAGATTGCCCAACCTTCCTTCCAAGGAGTGGCTGGTGGATTTGAACCACCAGCCTTCTGGTTAGCAGTAAAGTGCCTTTAGGCACTATGCTCCCAGAGCTCCCAGAGAGTTCTGATATCTCTTTGATAAGAGCCAAGAGGAAGGTTTATATGCTCTTTGGGTCCACGACTAAGTAGTATATTGTTTCATGGTTTGTGTCCCCCTTCCCAGAGGTGGAAAAGGCAATAAAGCTTCAGGAGTTGCCATGTAGTAAAGTAAACATCCATTTGAATCAGGATGGCCATTTAGTAGATGCGTGAACTTCACATGCTGCATAACCTCTCAGAGCTTCAGTTAATTCATGGTACTTATTTCATGGGAAAGAGTGCAGCGAATGACAAGGAAAGAAAGAACAAAAGAAAGAAAGCAGCGTCTGACATTTGGAAGCTGGCGTAGCACTCACAGGCAACTCATTCTCCTAATTAGAAATAAACAATTTCTAGAATACCTGCTTCAGACAAGGTTACTCTGAGACCACAGTGAAATGAGACAGAGTAAGGCCACTCCATATGTTGCCTAAGTACAGACAAAGTGAATGTGCCACCCACAAAATACCAGACACCCCCTCTCAAACTGATTAACTGCTATTTCTTTGTCAATTACAAATTTATCCTAGTCTCCCCTTCTTCTAGGCATTCTGGTGATGTGGTACATAAGGCATTTGACTACAAACCAGAAGCTTGGCAGTTCAAACCTAGCTACTTCATAGGAAGAAGATGAGGCAATCTACTTCCATAAATATTTACAGCCTTGGATAAGATTTATTGAAATAACCACAAAATTATCCCCATCTTCTGACAACATCCAATCTAGAGTGAACCCCTGTTTTGCACAATCACCCAACCCCAGCATCCCCCAATATGTTAACCCTTTCCAGCATCAACTGTAGAAGTTAGTGGGATCCTGTAGGCAGCCCTTCCCCCATTCCAAGTCTGGCAGTTACTTTCACCTCAGACCCTCTTGTTTCTGTGAGGTAGCAGAGTGTACTTTGTAGAGTGGAAGAAGAGTAGGAGTAAAGGGTAGAAACAGGGATTGGTTTGGGCATAATCTCTCTACAGACTACTCTCCACTGTTGACATTCTCTTTTTGTTGGGATTAGAGGGAGTACTCTGTAGGCAAAATGTTGACTGATGCAGGAAGCATCAAAAGAAGATGGAAAGAATACACAGAGTCATTGTACCAAAAAGAATTTCAATGTTCAACTATTTTAAGAAGTAGCATATAATCAAAAACCAATGGTATAGAAGGAAGAAGTCCAAGCTGCACTGAAGAAATTGGTGAAAAACAAGGCTCCAGGAATTGACAGAATATCCATTGAGATGTTTCAACAAATGGATGCAGTGCTGAAAGAGCTCACTTGTTAATGCCAAAACATTTGGAAGACAGCTGTATGGCCAACTGACTGGAAGAGATCCACATTTGTCCCCATTCCAAAGGGTGATCCAATATAATACAAAAATTACCAAACAATATTATTAATATAAGTAAAATGTTGCTGAAGATAATTCAGAAACAGTTGCAGCTGTATGTTGAGAGGGAACTTCCAAAAATTCAAGCTGGATTCAGAAGAGGGCACAGAATAAAAGATATCATTGCTGATGTCAGATGGATCTTGGCTGAAAGCAAAGAATACCGGAAAGATGTTTACCTGTGTTTTATTGACTATGCAAAAACATTTGACTGTGTGGATCATAACAAATTATGGATAACTTTGGGAAGAATGGCAATTCCAGAACACTTAATTGTGCTCATGAGGAACCTGTCCATAGATAAATGGCTGTCCTTTGAACAGAACAGGGGGATGCTGCATGGTTTAAAATCAGGAAGGGTGTGTGTCTAGGTTGTATCCTTTCACCATACTTATTTGATCTGTAAACTGAGCAAATAATCTGAGAGCCTGGGCTATATGAAGAAGAATATGGCACCAGGATTGGAAGAAGACTCATTAATACTTGCATATGCAGATGACACAAACTAGCTTGCTGAAAGTGAAGTTGACTTGAAGTACTTACTGATGAAGATTAAAGACTAGTCTTCAGTATGGAGTACACCTCAACATAAAGAACAAAAATCCTCACAACTGGACCAATAAGTAACATCACAATAAATGGAGAAAAGATTGAAGTTGTCAAGGATTTCATTTTACTTGGAACCACAATCAACCCCATGGAAGCAGCAGGGGAAAAAAAGATGTCATATTGCACTGGGCAAATCTGCTGCAAAGGACTTCTTTAACATATTAAAGAGCAAAGATGTTACTTTGAAGACTGAAAAAACTAAACCCACTACCATTGACTGGATTCACACTCCAAGGCTGTAAATCTTTATGGAAGTGGATTGCCTCATCTTCCTCCCACAGAGCAGCTGGAAGGTTTGAACCACTGACCTTCTGGTTAGCAGCCAAATGTCTTACCCACAGCATCATCAGAGCTCCTTTGAAGACTAATATGTGCCTGAATATCATGCTATTCTCAATTGCCTCATGTGCATGTGAAAGCTCGACAATGAATAAGAAAGCCTGAAGAGTTGATGCCTTTGAATTATGGTGTTGGTAAAGAATACTGAAAATACCATGGACTGCCAGAAGAATGAACAAATCTGTCCTGGAAGAAGTGCAGCTGGCTTGCTTCTTGGAAGCAAGAATGGCCAGACTTCGTCTCACCTACTTTGGTCATGTTGTCAGAAGGGACAATTCCCTACAGAAGGTGTAATGCTTGATAAGGTAGAGGGTCAGCGAAAAAGGGAAAGACCCTCAATGAGATGGATTGACACAGTGGCTGCAACGAGGGGCTCAGGTACAGCAAGGATTGTAAAGACGGTGCAGGACCCGGCAGTGTTCCGTTCTGTTGTGCATGGCATCACTATGCATCAGAGTGGACTCAACGGCACCTAACAACAACAAACAATCACCACAG